GACACCCTGATCCACTGTGCCTCCCAATTCTTCCCGCCACCCGCAGGACAGCATCGACTGGCCCTATGGCAAACACCGCCTATGCAGGATGGTATTCGCTCCATGTGGCAGGCCTACCGAGTCTGGAAGACAGCCAAAGCTCAAGCTCAGCATAATCCGCTCTATGTTTCCAGGTGCTACCATCACTTCAAGACGGCACACAAGGCCTTTCGTCGTGCCGGGAAAGAAGCCAAAAAGCACTGGTTCCATGGCAGGCTACAGGAACTCCAGACTGCTGCCAGCTCAGGCGACTCTCGCAAGCTATATGCTGGCATCCGTACCTTAGCTCCCAAATCCTCCAAGCCGAAGGTTCAACTGCGAGACTCTGGCGGACATCTGCAGGATCCCAAGACCCAGCTAAAACAGTTGGAAACGCACTATCGCAAACTGTATGCTGCGGACGAGGATGGCAGTATACAGGGCCCCCAGCGACAGCCCATTCACATTGAAGTCACGGAGGCCGAAATGACCCTGGCGCTTTCGCAATTGTCACCGCATAAAGCTACACCTCCGAACTTAGCCACAAACTCTCTATGGAGGCTAACCTCGGACCTCGTTGCGCCTCTCTTGTGCCAATGGTGCCGGCAATGGCCTCAAATACCGGAGCTCTGGAGAAGCGCATGGTTGACTCTTGTTCCCAAGATTCCGCGACCACTTTCACCAAAGAATCTCAGACCTATAGGGCTAACTGAATCCAGTGGCCGTGCATATGCTTCCATACTGCAGGCGAAATTGCGCCCCTACGCCGAGAGATTCCTTGCAGACCAGGCACAATTTGCATATTTGCCAGGTCGCAATGCTGCCCAAGCCATACATCGGGTCGCTGCACACTGTAAATATGTTCAGGATCGCTGCTCGATTTCAACACCTACGGTTGTTGATCGTCACGCACAACAGCCGAAACCCTGCCCACACTTTGCAGGTGCACAACTGTCGCTGGACCTTTCCAGTGCTTTTGACCTCATGGACTGGCGCCTGCTGGACAAGGCTTTACTAGCGTCCGAAGTTCCGGCTGAGCTCAGACACCAAATCATGTCCTGGCACTCTGAAATCTCCTATGTCCTTACTCACCTTGGGCACACTGCCAAGGTGGAGGCCCAAAGAGGACTTAGACAAGGGTGTAAACTGGCTCCGTTGCTCTGGACACTCGCTCTAGCACAGATATATCGTGACATCCTTGCTGAGGGAGACCCGCTTCTCACAGCCCCTTGGCTAGAGCAATGCTCCACGATTTATGCTGATGATATACACCTCAAGGATACTGTGCAGAACACTCGTGAGCTGGACGACATGGTGTATCGCTTTAGTAAGATCCTCGATGCCCTTGCGGCCCATGGTATGGTCATCAACTCGGCCAAATCAGCATTGCTACTGAGACACAAGGGCAGTTTCATCCGAGGCTGGCTGCGCCGACACCTCATACCCAAACCCGAGGGGGATCTCCTACGTTTTCGCAGTCCACGGGGAACAGTGTATGAAATTCCATTGCGTGACCATCACACGTACTTAGGCATACGTATCTCCTACCATTCACAGGCCAAACAAGCAGTCACCTATCGGCTGCAGGCTGCGAATCAGGCCTGGCAAAGACTCCGTGGTGTACTGTGTTCCACCAGGCATCTCGCTCAGACGCATCGTCTCAGTCTATGGAAATCCACAGTGCTTCCCACGCTGCTCTATGGTATCGCAGCATCTAACCCAGGTGCCAAGGACATACAGCGAATGCAGCACATGATGACCAAGCAGGTTCGAGCCATCACACGATCCTTTGCGCATCTTCAGAAAGAATCCACACAGGACCTTCTACACAGATGCTCTTTGTCCACCATTTTGGAGCACCTGCAGAGGGAAGCCGCTGCCTTGCATCGTAGCCTGACTCGCCTGAGCACTGACACGAGCTTCGTGACCCAAGCCCAGGTGGAATCAGCTCGAGACACTGCCGCTACACTTCACCTCCAAGTGCAACGCCAATGGCAGGTCCCTCTTGGGGACAAAGAAGGCATCACAGATCCTGCTGTACATCAGTGCCAGGAATGTCATCGGGTCTTTACCTCCTTTCGGCTCCTCCGCTCTCACGAGGCTAAGTGGCACGGCCTCAAAACACCTGCTGCTGTCTCGGTGCCTTTTGACAGGTATGCACATGGAACAGAAGGACTTCCAACGTGCAGACACTGTGCCCATCCCTTTCGACAATGGGATGGCCTCGTTAAGCACATTAAACGCAATCGGTGTCAGGTACTTCGTAGACTTGCCACCCAACCTCCTGCTGCTGCCCCACCCTTGGCTCCGAGTTCTGATGACCCTGATCCTGTACCAGTCCCTGACCCGGTTACTCTGCCACCCCAGGATCTGCCTCCGGAGACTCACATCCTGTCAAACGATCAGGCTGCTATGCCCCCGCCTGCTCCTGTCGATATACCTGAACCCCCTGTCTTGGATGCTCCCCTGCAGGATAGCTCCACTTCGCCGAGCCACGAGGCTGCTCCTCTATATCAGCAATCTCATGTGCTTGAGACACTAAGTGCCCGCAGGTGGACTGACCTCCTTGTGAAACCGGAGACCTACTCGTACCTCCAGCACCACTGCCCGCTGTGTTACCAGTGGCTAGCCACCCCTACCAGCATCAAGTATCATCTCACCATGCAGCATCCAGAGTGGAAAGAATGCCAACCTGCGACTCTCAAGCTTCTTACTGGTTTCCGCCGACATACTGTTGTACCATGTCGATACTGTCATCAGCGAAATATCAACAAAGATCGTCATTGGAAGCAGTGTCATGTTTTGCATATTTGCGCCTTTCTAGCAGTGCACCATGACACTCTGCGCGGATCCCATGGAGCTGGACGAACAGGAGAAGCAATTTTGGGCCCATGCCGGTCCGGTCAAACGGGAACAGGAACCACGACGAGATGTGCTGCATCAAACCGAGCAGTCCAAGAGGCAGCGTCTGGCTCCGCAGGACCGGAACAAAGGCAAGGGCAAGGGTACCAAGGGCAAAGGCAAGGGAAAGCAGGGCCTACCAAGTCCATCCAGTGCCAACCAGGTCACGGGCTACACAAATGGTTTCGGAAGCCATCCACCCAATCCCTGGACACAGACCCAGGACCTGCAGCCTCTGGGAAATCACGATCCAGACTGGATGGAGTACAGGATGAATCGACTATCCCAGCTGGTCCTTCGTCAGGAGCAAATCATCTCAGCCATCCGTCAGGACCTGGTCCTCTACCTCTTTGTACGATCAGGGCCAGAAGGGATGGTACCGGTTCTCTGCGAAGCAGCGGAGAAGTGGAGGAAGATGAAAGAGGAAGAACCCGAGAAGATTACTTACTCCCTCAAACTCATGCTCTTCAAGCAGCTGCTCATCACCTTACACCAGAGGTTGACCAACATGATTGCGGACGAGGATGCTCTCGCCAAAGCCAAGAACCTGAACTGGATCGACGGTCAGAAACATTGGAAACATCTTACATGGAATCCTACCAAACAATGTCTGGAAGTCGACAACTCAGTGAGGCCAATACCGGCGGAAGATCTGCTGGCCCAACTGGTTCAGATGAGGAAGGCTGTTACGGAAGAGACCCTGGTGAGGTTCAAGTCCATGAGGAAGCTCACCACGGAGGTGACCTCCGACTGGATTCAGTTCCAGATCTGCATGTCCCTTCGCCCAGAGGGAGGAGCCATGTGGAGCACGCTGAACCAGTGGATCGGCCAGGCATCGTGGCACACCCTGGGCTGCAGGCTTCGCCGCGATCGGCCGAACTACGACACCCTGGTCCAGGAAGTGTGGCAACATCAGATGCCATACTGAGTGTGCGCCCTAGTCTCAAGGCTGTCCTTCGATTGATTTTCCACAATCCATCGAATTTGTGCTACCTACACTCTACCATTTATGCCCTTCTGTGGACAACCCTTCAGGCTAGGCTACATGATGCCTACATCTCGCCTCCACCGCAGGCTCTTACCATGCTGTGCCCACCAATCACTGATTCGCCCAATTGCCCCATTCAGGTACTCCACTCGGTACCGTGGCTCATGCTGCTGCAAGCTTGGCCTTCTGTGCATCGTCAGCACGATGCAGCTGAACTACTGCAATATCTTCTACCCAGGTTCTCGCATAGTGGGTTCAATGGTGGCTGGGAGGCCCGCAACTTTGTACCTGGAGGTATTGCCACTCTTGACAAGGGGCCTACCCAAGCTCCCATTCCGATTGCGCTGCCGGTAGGTCCAAGTCTGGAGCTCCAAGCAGCCATTGATGGGTGGAGTGCTCAGGTTACAGCTCGCTATGCACTGCTGAATCCGTCTCCCATGCTCTGTATACAGCTCCAACGCTTCACAAATGCCGAGGGAGTCATGCGCAGAGACACCAGACCACTGGTCGTGGCCTCGACTACAGTCCGTATGCCACTCTTTACAGGTCTGCACACAATGCAAGTTCGCTATGTCCACTACCAGGTCGTCGCTGTACAGCTTCACTACGGGGCCACTCCTGATATGGGGCATTACAGAACTATCTTACGAGGACAACCGCTGTTTGGAGCAGAAAAGTGGTGGATCACTGATGACTCCTGCAACGCAAAGCCAGTCAGTACAGAACACGATGACAACATATATATAGTGTGGCTACGTCAGGTACTACCTCCTGGTGCCTGATGCTGAGCAAGTGTAGTCTTAGTCGATGGAGCTGGCACTGCCCTCCAGAACCCAAAAGAGGTTCCAGCCACCGGAACACCCGGTTGCTGTCTGCTCGCTAGGCGAACTCGGACACTTCGCTGCGTGGTGAATGAATACTCCGCCTACTACTCCGGTACTCCTATTGCTGCTGCACGATCGAATAATTGCGAACTGCCAAACACAAGAACTGCAACACTAATGCATATCGAGAGCATACTCATCACATCATGAAGTAGAACGCTAACAGCTGCTAACACCAGCATCTGACTGCGCTCAGTAGGCCGAGGAACATGATTCCATGGTGGTCTGCCGCGCAACGTCTGTGTGGAGGCGGTGGCGGCATCTTGCAGGCTTGAGGTGTGTCTCGTTCACAGCATGCCATGTAAAGGATCGCTTCGACAATTTGAAGGCCATCCCATTCAAGAATGACTTGAATGATCTGCTGGGCCCAAGATTAGCTGATTAGCATGACCCCGAGCATGCCTCAACTTTTCATGCTGGGGTTCATTAAACAAGCACTTGGTTCGCAGGTTCGGAAGTCAGCTCTGACCCAAACCAACGAGCTTCATTGCTGTAAGCTGCTATTCGGTGGAAGCATGTGGAGAGGCAGGCCAAACTCTGGCTGTGGCTTCCTCCGCCGGGTGACACTACCTGGAGAGCTTGGCGCCAGCGGCTGCTCCGTGCAAAGGCGTCGAGCGCCGTTTGCGCACCTTGCGGCAGGTTGAGCAAGCCGGATCTGAGCTCGGATCTAAGACACTGGCATGGAACTAGATTGCAAGCTCGGGCGTAGATCCCACTACGTTGGACAGTCCACTCCTATTTACTTGCCTCTCATGCCATTTCTTGCAGACCTTCATGGCATCACTTTTGGGCTGTCCGAGGCAGCCACAGGCTACGGCCTGTAGCCCTGCAGGCTTGCATTGCCCAAATGCCACAGCGACTGGACAGATTTCCAGGGAAGGACTTTCCAGAGCCTCAAAACTCTTTGCTGTGATTCGCCAACTTCAATGGTGCAGTTCCAGACTCTTGCAGCGAGCAGAACGCCGAAAGCTCCAATCGCTGCGTCCTCCCTCCCAAAGCATATCCCCCTATACTTAGCTGTCGCTATCTGTCAGTCCAAGGGCCAATGCCATCGTGCCGCAGTCCAGGAAGTTGAAGAAGCGCCAGGGTGTCCTCGCCAAGCAAAACTCGGTTGGGCCTTGTCTGGGCCTGTTTCCTCATGCTTCCTCCTGTTGTCGGTTGCAAACCTTCAGTTTTTCCGGTCTCGGCCAAGTAGGTGAAGTGAACCCCGGAACGCACCTTTTTGCAAGCAGCACACTTTCAGCCGCCTTCCTCTCCTCAGCCGCCTTTGAGCTTTGAGGTGGAGAGGTCGAATCAAGTGTTTGAGGCCTCGAGCGGGATCATGCGCCTTTCGACTTCCAGTCCTGGCGAGCTGCTCGCTTGCCAGGATTCCAACACTTCTCGCAGCAGGCGAGGCTGCCTGGGGCGCATGGCCCGGCTATGCCCGGTTTGGTAGGCAATCGTGTCTCCCTTCCGGCGCAAAGACGCGCGGTGCTCCAAACAGCATCTCCGTGGCGACGGTGCCGTCTTCCGTCGTGCAGGGCCGGAGGAGTTAGCAAAAGTCCCGAAACACCATGTCAGGATGGTCAGAGTCTCCGAGTCTGCAGGGGATCATCCCAAGGGGTCGTCAATGCATGAATCGCATTGACAAAGTGCTCCTCCCCTTCAGAAGTCTCCGCCTTCTCCGCCACCGTTGCTGCTGCCGCCGCCCCAAGAAGAGTCACCACCTGAGCGTCTAGCAAACACTTGGCCTTACGTCTGTGACTTTGCAAACATGAACGGACGTCCGAAGTGACCCGCCTCTCGCCTTCGTCAGCCAAGTCGCCTGCTGTGGACCTGGTCATGGAGCTGTCAGAATATGCCACGACGGGCTGCACCTCACACTGCCCCATGGGTGTTGGGCCGATGGTTGGGAACCGGCATAAAGCTGTCAAGGAGAAGAATAGCATTTGGGTGGCGTCTGGTAAGGGGCACGTCATCTTGATTCCAGGTTGCTTGCTCCTCGAGTCACGAAAACTGATGGAGCTACATGCCAGTAGCACCCAAATGAAGCTGCTATGTTGACTAGTGCATCGAAAAGACGGGAACACTGATAAAACGTGTATAACACCGCTATGTTCGGGCAATCGACAAACCGGACTGTCCCACTTCCAGCACCCTTGCAACACGACAAGGAAGCAAGCTGCTGACAGGCTCTACTTGTACGGGAGTTATGACCATGTCATACATGGCTTCGTACCAGCTCAGATACTCTGTCGCCGACATTAATCATTAAGCAAAACTGATGGCACGACGATGCTGCCTTTAGGAAGAAGAGGTCTGCGTGCCCGCCTTGCTCTACTGAAGGCGACGTTACCACAAGGGTAGTGACTGTCGTTGGACGAACACCACGACCATCCCCATCGTCGGCGTCATCACTGTCAGCCTCCTCCTCCGCCTGCGCCGCATCATCATTGGGTCATCATTATCACCATCCTCGTCGCTGTCGTCATCAACAAGGTACGATGGCCTCGACGCAGGTGTAGGCGTTGCAGAAATAGCACTCTGTCTCCTTTTCGGCATTCAAGGGTGGGTTGTGTGTAACCCTGGCCTCTTATCTCTTTGCAACACACAGAACAAAAACACCACTGATTCGAAACGTCTCCTTGAACGACCCGCCGGTGACAGGATTTCGGAAGCTCCGGGACAGCTGAGTCTTGTAGCCTTTGTTCTTGGACCAAGACACAAGCAGTTCAACACAGAGTGTGCTGAAATAAACCGAAGCCTTTGATACGAAAAAGATAGCTGTGATCTGAAAGCCGCGCGGTATTTCTCATTTCCGCCCGAGTGCCGCAAGCCGCGCAGGTGCGGAACCGTGATGCCCACCTGGGTCAGGACTCGCTAAGAGACGTCAATTCTCGCCCCAACTCCCACACCCGAAGCTGCCCGTGTGCGCTTCGGCGTTTCATGCATTGCACAGCCGGCAATTGGCCAGCGACGGCCGCTTGCTGTGGTTTCTAGATCTTCGCTGCACTGCCGGCCTGTCGGCAGCCAGGATTCCAACGGCAGCATCCGTCTTAGCGGCCTCCTTCATGCGCTGAGAACTGGCTGTTCAACGATGATTGAGGGCTGGCGGCCCATCAGCCTGCAACAAATCTTCCCTGAGGTCAGAACAGGCCTTCACCTCCTCGCCGGTCAACTTCAGCTCCGAAGTCCGCTCCAAAGCACCCCCGAGGCGCCGGTCCTCAAAGAACCCAACTTACGCTTCAAACCGCTTATCCCGCAAATTGTGTGGCAGCACTGTGGGCTTTGTTGTCCTATGAGTAAGAGCAAACGGATGAAAATGCACATCGGTGCAACCAGCGGTTCCCTGGTTCCCGCTGTAGTGCCGCACATTTTCGACTGGGAACGCCGAACTCAATGGACAATCCACGACTTTAGGGCCACTCTTGTATTCAAAAACGTTCCAAATGTCGTGGCGAAAACGTTAGCTGCTTATATCTGCTTATCTGGATTTGGGCAATGTCCTCAAAACGCTGGCGGCGCCTAACGTCCTGGCGACGGCCAAGCCCATTTACGGTGCACATAGGGTCCTGTATGCGAAAACCAACGAATCGGCATTTCACGCCACGAAGCCGGAGGGTCTAGGTGAGGGTCTCGTACGCAAAACCCAACGAATTCGCATTTCACGTCACGAAGCCGGAAGTTCCAGGTTAGGGTTTCGCACGCAAAAGGTAACGAATCGGCACTTCACGCTGCGAAGCCGGAGGCTCTAGGTGAAGGTTTCGTATGCAAAAACCAACGTATCGGCACTTCACACCACGAAGCCGATCAAACAAAGACAACAACACCAGCATTGTCAGCAGCAGCAACGACAACAACCATGACATCAGTCACAACAGCAGCATCAGCAACCATAACAACAGCCACAACAACTATTTACTGTTTGTCTGTCAGGTGTTGGCCATGGCAACGGCGAACGACCGCCTCGCGCTGCGCTGGGTCTTCAAGAAGCCAGCGTCGGAGGGCAGCGAACTGTCGCCTTACGGCATCGCTATCGCCCTGTCGAAGCAGCTGATCCTCAAAAACGGCGCCGCTGAGATTGCATGATGACCGTGTCTGTGTCTGTGTCATTTGAAGCATGTGGCACCGCGGGTTCAAGCTCAAGTTTATTTTAATATTGTCGTCAATCGTCGGTTTGAAGGTGTCCGTTTTTAAACCTCAGCCGTCAACAACAACTGTCGCAGCTTTCGCTGAGGGTCTAGGTCATATATATATATATATAGTTTCACAATGTTTCACACACAAAAGCCAATGTGCTCGCACTTCACGGTGCGAAACCGGAGGGTGTCGGGCAGGGTTTAGTAGGGTTCGATTTGGGGATTTGGATTTAGGTTTAAGGGTTTGGATTTAGGGTTGGAGGTTCTGGATTTAGGGTATAAGTCAAGGGGGATTCAGGGTTTAAGGTTCAAGGTTTTGGATTTAGGGGTTTTGGTTTGCCATGGAATAGCGCCCTGGCGAAATTATCTGGCGAATGGTTTTTTCGAGTGCTGCGTATCGAGGCGATTGGCCGGACCCAGCATGCCAACACCACGCAAAATCCCACATCAGTATGACCACATGCACAGGCACACGGCCATCCTGACGTCCCCCAAGGCGAACAGGAACAAGTCTCGCCGCAGTGAGACATAACACACACAGGCACAAGGCCTACACGGGGTCCCCAAAACTCGCTCACATGCAAAGCTCGCCCCTGAGCTGATCAAAAGAACAAGTAGCAAGCGCACGCTACTCATTCTCACACTGCCATCACACGCGATAGTCACAGTAAGCTATATGCATGTGCGTGCACCTGGACAACCCAGCGCGTGCGGGCTCGACTTTCTGATCTCGTAGCCGTCGTGAAGTGCTGCATGGGGGCGGCATGCCAAGAACCACGAGGCACCATCGTCTGTGGACAAAGCCTTGTGAACAAAGCCCGTCACACGATTGAGTATCCATGGTCCTGGGTCTTCTTTCGGCACGGCTTCGTCATCAGGGGCCGATAGCATAACAGACTCATCACTCCTCCAGAAATTCACACCTTTTGCCGGATCCACAACTTTAAGAGGTACGCTTGCATCTTAAGGACCACAGGGACCACTATCCTGAGTTTACAGCTCTGGCTGAACTCGGGTCGCGAAGCACACCTGCACGTGCATGCCTGTGTCCCTTAGTCACACCTGCCGTTGTAGATGAGCATGTCGTTCACCTGCCCTTGCCGTACCCGTTGCCGTGGCCTTTGCCGCAGCCTTTGAAACGCCGTTATCTCGCCTGTAGCCCTTGCCAGACTTGCCATCTCGCCTGTAACCCTTGTCGCCGTCATCTCGCCTGTAGCCCTTGGCGTCGCGCGGCATGCCGCTGCCTTGGTCGTACTTGCTCTTGCCGTTGCCCTTCTCGTAGCCTTTGCCCTTTTCGAAAGCCTCAGTACATCTCGAGGACGCTTGTCGAAAAGCAGATGCTATTTTGAGTCTGCTCTGTGCGTGTGCACGCGATGCGTAGTGAGCCCGGAGGATTGGGACCCTCCGATAGTACTGTATAAGGCAAGCGCGTCACAAATTCAGCCGAGGGGCTCTTTGAAGTTCCAGCCTTGAAGTTATAAGGAGAGAGGTGATGGCGTATGCGGCATGCTTGAAGTAGCGGAAAATTAGCCAAGACCCTGTGGCTCACAGTTTTGGGACGGCAGCCCCCAACTTCAACCTACACTCGTAACGCATCGTTGACATACATGTCATGGCATGTGAACTCCAGCCGAGGGTCTCTTTGAGCTTGCTGCGCCTGCTCTGCCTTGGAGTCAAGGGCAAGAGTCTCAACATCAGAAAAGCATCACGCGCGAAGTGATCTCGAAGTGACAATGCAATCCCTTTCAAAAACGTCAGTGCATCTCGAGGACGCTTGTCGAAAAGCAGAGGCTTGTTTGAGTCTGTTCTGTGCGTGTGCACGCGATGCGTAGTGAGCCCGGAGGTTTGGGACCCGGGGATAGTACTGCATAAGGCAAGCGCGTCACAAATTCAGCCCAGGGGCTCTTTGAAGTTCCAGCAGGTGCTTTGCCTTGGAGTTATAAGGAGAGAGCTGATGGCTTATGCGGCATGCTT